TTTTTTTTCTCATGTGTATATAGATTGAAGAAAGAATGAATGGTCATATTAATGATGAACAATGAACAGATGTGTATAATGCTAAATAGTAGAGTCTCTGGTCAATAGGATGAGAAAAGGTCAAAATCTGTTCAAGTTACGTGATCAAGAAAGAAAAAAGACAAAATAACTCTATCAAAGAATGTAATCGATTAGCATAAAAGACAAAAAAAAAGAGACTAAAATTATGCATAAGATTGAAGAAGAGAATCAAGCAGAAAAATAAATGTAAAAGAATTTGTAGATCTTTGTTTTTTTTTTTTTTACATCGTACCATTCATAACATATCTAATGTAAGAATAATAACAGTAGCTCGTTTTTTTATTTAATGCTAATTGTTCTATTCAATGAAAATTCTATTTTGTTTCATAAATAGACTTTCAATCAAAGTTTATTAAAAATCAGTTAACCTCGATCTATTCTCATATAATTGTCAATCATAATAAATGACGTCTCGATCTATGTTTTATTCATACCTACCTTTACCATGATATGTTTCTTCGATTGTCATATTATTTTCATCATTTGTAATATTAGTCTCTTGATTTCCATCAATATCAGTAGAAACAGTAATAGTAGGTTTTTGAATACGTTTAGCCATTAATAGAAGTTGTAATATACGACTGAACAAGTTCGAACAGATTATTTAAATATTAAACTAGATCACGCACAATTGCGTGATTATAGTAATAATAATACCAAAAAACTAACTAACATTATTATTGAAGAAGGTAAAATTGTTCAATTCACTGTTCGTATTTCTTTTCCTCTCGATTTCTATTGATTATTCTTCTTCTTCTTACTTTTTTCTTTTCTTTCTCTCTGTCTTTTGCTCTTTCTTTCCCCTCTGTCTAGTAAATTGTGTATTACAATATAAAAAAAAAAACCAACAATACACAACTATTATGAGAAAGAAGAATACGAAGAAGAAGAGGAATAATTGTACAATACACGCACACGTATACACATCAAATGAATAGACCAAAAAAAAAAAGAAAGCAGAGAGTTCTTTTCTTTTCTTACTCTCCTTTTTCGACTTTCTCATTCTGCTGACAGTGCATCTCTAAAGCAAAGAAAAAGCGTATACGCTCCTGTTACACTATCGTGTATAAAAGAGATAATCAAGTAATAAAAGAAAAGAAGAAATAGATTTTCCATATACAGAAGCATATAGATGATGGAATCTATCAGGCTCGTTTTTTTCTGTGTTCTGTCATGCACTTTTGCTATAACTATTGACTAAAGATATCAAAGATAGATCCAACATGATGAGACATATACATCATCCCTCCCATCGCATCGCATCACATCGCACATCAAAAATTGCTTTACTAACGATGATAATATCATCGTTCAGAGAAAATGATGCGGTCAAGAAATAATGTTTCCTATTTTATCATATGTTATCAATAGTGAATTGATTAGTTGTCAGGCATGGATACACACATTAACAACCTATACATTCTCTTCTTGTTTAAC